CAAACAGAATCCCACATTTGGATAATATTTACCTTGAATCCATAATTTCGAAAAGTTATGCATAATTATATGTACCTATTGCAGAACAATTTACTGTAGTTTTCGTCTTCACAAAAAGTAAGCGAGAACACTTGATGTAGCGAGAGTAATTAAAATATGTACCTAAGAATATATTTAGAATTGTCAGACGGTCACGGCTGAATGCCTTCATTGGTGATTTAAAGGAAAGTAAGTAGGCACCCCGAAAGGAGGTTCCATGTGCTTATCATGAATGAAAGATTCTAGGCCAAAAATAATTGCATAAGCAGAGTGCTCAAAAAATGGAAGGTTTTTCCCAATTTTTCTACCTTTTGTTACCTTGAATATACTAACTACTGTTCTGGTACGCACGATGAAGTTTAGACTCAACGTACATTTTTGGATAAGTCTTGAAGATAAATTTTTCAGTCAAGTTTTCTAAGGCCCCAGATTAAAAAGCAGCGGTCATTGTTGCTGAAATAAAAACAAAAAAATCTCTTAAACAACCCTCCACGAAGCATGCCCTACTGTTCTCATTATCAATTTTGGATCCATCATTATAGGGAGATGGAAAAAGCTTTGGTTCTGACTATGGTTTTCATTTGGGCATTCATTTAGAAATCACTTGGAAGAAGAAAAACCTTCGAGCAATGCAAATAACTCCTTACATTTATGTCAATATGAAGGGCTTTAAAAAACAAACTTTTCTACAAATTCTGCGAAAAAATACAAATTTGTGTGCAGTTAGAAATTTTTTTTTCGAAGGTGTGGGGCCAGCGCATCTTCTATCGCTTTATACGGAAGGAAAGTTTTATTTACGATATGTAAGAAATGTGCCCTGTTAAATAGAAAATACAATCGACGCTAAATATATTTGCGAATTTCTCTACTGATATTCATATTCATATACATATATGTACATTAGTATGCGCCTTATTTTTATGAAGACAATATTTTTATAAGATACGAAGTAAGACCTAGGCTCGTTTGGGCATAAAAACGTGCTCTGCGAAAAATGTTCAAAATCGGTTAACGAAAGACTTGCCTCAATAACCCTGAAGTAACATACTATAATTCATTAAATTTTACATAAAATAGGAAAACTAGCCCATATTTCAGTAAAAAGAGCGATTTTTTCGCATTAAATAATAAATGGATTTTTTTACCTTATGAGGCCTTTTTCCCGCATATGGAGAGTGGAGTTTTGCTTTGGGGATCAACATTGTAAAATCAGCCACACGCTAATGTAAATCTATATAGTTAGTTCCCAACGATTTTTTCTTCTAAAATACTCCACCCATATTTTATGAGGAGAAACCGATGTCCACATAAATTTTTTTTTTAGTAGAATTACTTCAGCTGACCTAAATCATGATATGTCTCATTTTCAAAGTGCATTGAGTATACATGCAAATATTTTCAAAATAAATCCAACCGCTGAATACTTATGTAGTTACCTCCTAATCATCAGCCAGATGCGCAGTTGGCTGCACTGTCACCGCATTTGCAGCCACGGCTCTAAATTGTAGGCCTTGCTGCGTAGCTGAAGCCCAGCTACGTCGCGGTAGTATGCGACCAAAATTAAAATACCGTTGCCTCAACTTATCCTTAATCTCGTCTTCGTTCATAATGGCACTTGCTTCGCGGAAATTCAAGAATATGCGCCCCTTTTCATCTGTTTTGATGGGTAAAATTTCAGTGCAAACATTGCGTGCTTTCAGTAAGAAACCCTCCTCTACATTCGAACTGCCGTCATCTTCACAAGCGCTATCCGAACCACGTAATCCCTCGTCATCGTTATCGTCATCGTCCGCCTCATTGATGCCATTGTCTAAGCGTGCATCAACCGACTGCGAGCGTGGCGGTTTGACGTGTTGATTGTTTGTGTGCTTCTTCTTGTTGCGCAAGTAGAATGGGTCGCGTTCGCTAGCCTTCACATATTGCACGACCGGGCGATTGACACCCCACTTGGGGCGGATGTCTACCTTGTGATTATTGTTATTATTGTGCGTGTTTACTATTACGCTGGCATTGCTTGGGCCGCCATCTTTTGGGTTGCGCTTGTTGCGGTCGCGTTCTTTGTCCTTTNTTGTTTCTTGGTCTTTGTCTGCCTCTTTGGCTGGTTTGCTCTTACTTTTCGAGGTTTGCGTTGTCGTTGTGGTCGAAACTTCGCGCTTTAGCAACACTTTGTAGAAATTATCATGGAAGAGGCACAAATCACAATTAAGTGGTAGTTCCGTTTGTGTTTCCACATCCTGGTGTGCCTGCTGGTTGATAATCAGTTGATCAGCAGCAACTGGTGGTAAGGACTCGAGTGGCATGAGCGCTAACTCTACCTGACCTGTTCCTTCCTTTCCGCCCTTTTCCGAAATAGTGGTCGGGTCTGTCTTCTCGACTACAGCTTTCTCGCTAACTTCTACAACACTTTTCGGCTCATCGTCGGCGATGCTTTCCATTTGATAACCGTCTTCGGTAGAAATAGACGTGTTTGTGCGTTGCGTACCATCGCCAGTTGTCTTTGAGAAATCCAACGTCGAGGCGGCCGTGTTCGGTTTTAGCTGCTGCTGCATCCAGTAGGTGGCGATCTGCAGATTGCCTATAGCATTCTGTAGTCCAAATATATCGCTGGTCACGGGCAGTGGTATAAGTGTGGCTGGTTGCATGATTACTGCGACGTTTTCCTGTACACCACTGCTGAACTGTGGTCTTTTCGGTTCTTTTTTCACCTCTGTGGCATGAAAAGTTTTCTTTTTGATATTTCGACGCAAGTTTATAGGCGTGCCAATGAGCACCCTCTCTTCTCCCTCGTCTTCAGCTTGACTGTCTGCTCCATTTCTGTCGTTTATTATTTTAGCATGGTTTTGTGAGTTTATCACTTCCCCTACTTCCGGTGGTGGAGTGGTTGAACGCTCTGTGGCTTTCTCTACGCTTTGTACCTTATGCGGGGTTTCAGCCTTTCCATCAGTTTCAGTTGGCTTATTTAACTCCGCTTTGTCCTCGCCTTGCTTTATCGGTGCATTTCTCTTAATCGATTTTCTTGTGTTACCTTTCGTTTTCGGTTCTTTAGTTTCTGCTTTCTCAGCTGTCTTGTCATCAGCTCCCAACTGCATTGCTTGCTCGTCCTTCTGTACTTCCTGCTCCAGTGATGGCCCACGCTGTTTCCGCTTACGTTGTTTCTCCTGCTTCGCCGCCTCCTCTGCTTTCGCGATCGCATCCAACATTGCCTGCTGTTTTTTCTTCTGCACCTGCTCGCGCTCCATTTGCTGCCGACGCTCCCACTCCAAGCGCTCTTGCTCAAGCTGCTTCTGCCTGCGCAAGCGTTCCTCCTCCAGCATTTCTTCCTGCTTGTGTCGCTCCAGCTCCCACTTTCGCAGCATTTCTCGCTCGTGCAGCTGTTTCTTAATCGCATTGTGATACTCGGCTGCCTTTCGGCGTTTATCGATACGTTCGGCCATAGTGACCGGATCTACGGGTGCATTCTGACCGCGTAGGTAGGAGGAGTGCATTGATTGCGTGTCGTCTTCGCTGTCTTTCAGCTCGTGCGGACCACGTCCACGATTCAACCAGTTTGGTCCGTTGCTCTGCTTCAGTGAGTACTCGCTATGAACGCTGTTGTTATTGTAATTGGACCACTTGGCGCGTTCGCGCTCCTCGTGCGCCTGTTGTGCTGTTTTTGTGGTTGCGAAATAATCGTTTTGGTCGCCCGGGTGAATGGGATATGTATTCGAGGTGGAGATGTCGCGTGTGCTGTGGTTGGAGGGACTTAGCGGGGACATGTAGTAGCTGTAAAGGAAAAAGTAAAGGATTTAGGTAATTACCGTAAGGAATTTAGTACAAACATATTTTTAGGGAAGCCTAGGAACCGTCGCCTTGGCAGATATTTCGATATAACAAGCCCCAACCACTTACCTGCCCTGGCAACTGTCTTCCATGCCGCTGTTGTACGAGTGAGCCACGACGTAGGTGGAATTCATTACTTGCTGTTGTTGCCGCTCCTGCGCTTGTTGTTGTTGGTTTTGACTTTTGGCGAGTTGTTGACCTATTATCGATCTTTTTGCGCGCCTTGCATTACCATCGCTCATTTCATCAACGCTTCCCACACGACCATCAACACTAGTGACATTGGCAACCGCACTCACTCCCACGCCGCTGCCGTCAGCACCGTTACCGCCACTATTCGCTGTGCTGCTACTGCCTTGCAGGCTAGCGCCGTCATTATACCAAATTTCCGGCGTGTGTGGGTTCTTCGGCGAATCGCTACGATAGCCGGAGGTGTCTTCTTCCTGGCAACCAGGATTGCCTGGATTATTCGGATTGTTAGATCGATGCGGTGCGTTGCCAGGCGCACCAACAGGAATGCCAATACCGCATGCCGCTGGTGCCAATTGTGTAGCGTGTGTTGGTATTTTCTCTGCAGCCAACTTCGATTGGGGCTGGCGTGCCAGATAGTCCTCATGACGAATGACAGGCAAGCTGGGGCTTCGTATGCGCATTTGTGGGTGATGTTGCTGTTGTTGTGGTGGCATACGTGCTGGCGCTGCTTGTTGCATGCGTGCCTTGGCTGTTTGTAAACCCGCGCCAGGCAGTGCCATTTCATCGTAAGCATACTTGCGTTGTCCTGGAATTTGTGACATCATGCTGGTGGTGTGATTGCGACGCCCGGGGCCGCGTGGCATAAATGAAGCGCGTCGTGCTGGCGGTTGCCTGCGCTGATAACCAGCAATTAGTTCGTCATCTTCGTAATCAGCGTCGATGTCTGGGTCATCATCGACCACATCGATGTAACCTTCGAGCTCGTTATCATAGCTATTGCCGCCGCGTTGTATTTGGTGCTGTTGACGACCAACTGGCTGTGAGGCATGCGGGAGCGGCACGGCATATGGGTTGGGATTATGTTGGGGATAGCGTGGTAATAGGTCTGGTGCGTAGGTTTGTATTGGCTGCTGAAAATGCTGCTGATGCTGTTGCTGTTGTCGAAACTGTTGCTGGCGCGAGCTGCGCTGTTGATTATGCATTTGCGACTGACTTACGTCCATGTTCGAGTAGTAGGTGCGTATGGAGGTGCGTTCGATTTTGTGATGGTGCGATGTCGCCATGGTCGAGTGCTGCTGATGATGGGAGGAGGAGATGAGCTCGTCCATGCGGGCGATTTCCTCTGCGAAGGGGGAGGGTAGAAAATGCTAGATATTACTATTATCTTAAATATTAACTAACTCCGGTTACATATTAAAATTAAAAAGTTCCGTTGATTGAATTTGCTCATCTTCATATTTTCGTCCAAGCTACAGCAACCTTGGATAAAGCTCATGCAATCCTCAACATCAGTCTAAAAATCATTGATTTCTCTCTATGACTATTATTTGGAAACTTTGTATTCGTTCCCGAAGAAATGGATTGGTACTTGCCGAGTGGCTGGCGCCAAGCTAAGCCGTTCCGAGCGGAGTAAAGCTTTCAAACTGCTGTAGCTATGTGACAGCTTTCATACCGCAAGCTTTTTCAGTAGCTTTTTTTTTAGCTGAAAGCAAAGCAGTTTTCGATTTTGAGTTTTCTATTTAAGCGAAATTTCCAATTAATATCTTTAATAAAATTGCGAAAATATTGCTGAAGTGTATAGCTGCAAGCCTGAAAAGCGCGGAACGCCTGGAAAGCTTTTTGCGGAGTTGTATTCTTAACCAGGCAATGATGGATACATTGCACATTCGTCCACCAAGCTCCTGTTTTTTTCAGGCATTTTGGGATCTAAGCTCTAGCGCACCTGCTCCGGGACTTTGGTTGTGGACGCACAAATGTGGAAATGAAATACGACTTGGCTATACTAAAAAATTTCAGTCCTAGTGGTTTGGATAGCACTAGATACACTGCACATTCTCTTATGTGCGATGTCGAAGTTACAAATGCACTAATAATTAATCGAGTATTTCAGCTAAGAAAACCAAATTTCATTAAAAACTGGCACCATAAATTTACACCTACCACGTTCCTTAGCCCATTGCTGCTTCTTCAAGTCCAACAAAGTATGTGTTTGCCGGCCCTCAGCGCCAGTTATCATGCCGAGTATAGATAACCAATACGTAAACTAGACGACTGCTCTACAATTCACTTTTACTAACACACATTTTTAAACGCATTTTTTTATTCCAACGCACTGTTCTACAAACGCTAGAAAATATGAGCATATGTTTCCAAGGCTTAGCACTTTTTCACTTAAGTAAATAAGGCCAAAGGCAGGCGGCCACAATTGATTTATAAAACTAAAATTTCAAGCACTTTTCAGCTTCATACTAAGCTTCTAACGTGTTCTCTGTACCAAGAGAGAGAAACTTTTAAGATTTATTCGATAATATGTTGGCCATTTTTAGCCAACTTTAAACCATTTGCAGCCGCGTACCGTCGTTTGCACGTTTAACTAGCTTGCCGTGCTTTGTGCGAATTCCGTCAGTACCATGCCAATCCATCAACTATGTACCCAAAAAGTTGGGCTGTCAACCGACCGTGTGCATGTGTTCGACAACTAAATATCCGTTGCTATGGTTGTTCTATTGTGTTAATTCCTTGTTTTGTTTGATTTGGTTTTTCCTGCCTATTTCGCCTTTTTCCTTCAATTTTTTAGTGGCTAAGTTTTCTCCGTTTCCTCTGCTAGTTAATGTTTTGTATTGGAATGTTTGCGTTACTATGGGTAACAAGGCCAACCAGTCAAGTAAGGGGGTGGTAAACAAATTCAATTTTGTGGTATTTGTCGACAAACGTTAGTAGGAGTGGGGCATGTAATAGTTGCATATTTCGAATGTAATTTTTACACGCCAGTGTTTAGGCCTTTCATAACAGAGGAATAAATTTGCGTGGTATTACGTGCGCAGTATCACTTTTCCTCAACTTTCTTTAATAAATTTAATTTGAAATAGCGTGGGTAGTATAATTTCTACTCACTCTTACGCTTCTAAACTACTCAGTTAGAATTGTTGATTAACAAAGAACTGTTGATAAACATTTACGTATGCCAAAAATAAACAAATTTGTTTGCGAGTAGGAGTTTTACATATGTTCACTCTATGATATGTTTATGGTCATTACGCTGCGAGCCCTTTTTAATTAGAAATTCCCTTGAAGACTGAGCTGGAATGGAATAAATTGGGTCATGAAATGCAGATATCTCGTTCTAAAAGTAAATATTATCTACATAAAATTTAAAAAACGACATCATTATACTGAACAAGAATTTTGCTTAGAAATTGATCTGAATACCAGCCGGTCGTTAGAAATGCGCACTACCAACCGTCGCTCCCTCTCGACTGGCAAAGCCATATCTCCGAGTGTACTATATTTTGTGGCATGGAAAAGTTTATTATAAAATCATTATCCACCTTTCAGCGGAGTATTCTTGGTGCTTTATATATCTGGGGCAACATAAAGGCGCTCACGGAAAATTGGAGGAGAAACTTGCCAAGCAACTTAGCAAATTGCGTAAAGCGCCAATTCTTTGTTTGTTTTCTTTTTATTTAAACATGAAAAATTCGATTCCATGCATCCAGTGAGATATTTTAATAAAACCTATAATTTTATCAAATTTTAGATCAACTTAATCCACTAAAAACTTAAATTCTCATATAAATATATATATATATATATATANAGAACTATCGAAATCGGTTGACGTGGTCCAAGGTTATGCGGTAACATACATAAAAAAAAATATCTCGACGAATTGATAACATCCTCCGTTTTTGAAAGTCGGTTAAAAATACCAGCCACCATTACCAAAAACCAAATATTCCTAAATTAATTGCTACAAACACCCTCTTCCTTGAAATCATTTGCTAATTAGCCAGAAATCTTGTTTTCTTATAAAAGTTTGATTGATTGCTGCAATCCATTTTATCGAAAGCAAAACATGGAATCCAAAACGCATACTCGACTAATAAATAGAAAAATCTTAAATAAAATCAATCTACTACAAGACGGGCAACACCCAAAATGTGTAAAATATGCGAAAAAATTTAAATATGACAAACGAAAAAAGGAGCCAAATTAGATAATGAAATGTACAAGTGAATTATGCAAACAAACTGAATTTGATGGACAACAGAGCGGACTCTAGACAAAAATACATATTTGGACATGTTCATGTAAAAATAAGTACACCTAGATACATACATAAATACATACATACATAGATATCTTCCATCATTAGTTCAGTTAGCGTTGAGACATTAGGTTGATTGGCGAAATTAATCAAAACGAAATGATGTCAGATATTTTTGCTGGCGCATGAGTATTTGTATGCGCATAGGTATCAATGTACTTACATACATACATACACTGCTGGCAAAAGGTATTGACACAGCTGCTTTTTTACAATATATGCAAAAAATTTTATTGTAATATTTTACCGACAACGTTTTATAAAAATATGCTTCATTCCACAAACAAACAACATAAAAATATAATTTCTAAACTTTATGCAAAACTCACGAAAATTCAGAAAATTTTCATGCAAATTTTCAACTTTTTAAACCGATTTTTTAGAATTTTTTTGAGTATGGAAATTTTTTTTTTTATAAAAAATTGGCGGAAAAATATTAGAATAGAAAGTGTTGCGTATATTATGCAAAATTCGCTGTGCCAATACTCTTTTCCGGCAGTGTACATATTGAGCATTTTTAAAATGCAAACTGCAAATAAGTAGACTTATGAAAATTTGTATATATGTACACTAGGGTGGAACGTAAAAATCAAACGAACGATTTCTTTCAGTCTAACCCCCTTACAAGATAATGCCAGGGGCAGGGAAATCTGACAAAAATTTTGCTCACGAATGGAGCTGGTTAGGGCGTATTGCATAAACAGGTGTCAAAGTGCAGATTACCCTATGAAGACTCAAGAAGTTAAAATTAACCGTCTTCATTCGGGGCCAAAATTCATATGTGATACCTTCAACTTTAGTCGTATCGATTTTGGGTATTAGATGAAAAAAAAATTTAGTTTAATATTTTTTTTTTAATTTCTATAGGGACATCTTAAATTTGCTCCTTGTGCGACACGCCTTCACCGACTCCAATCGGGACCACATTTTATATGTGATAAATTCAACTTCAGTAGTATCGATTTTGGGTATTAGATTAAAATAAAAATTTAGTTTAATATTTTTTTTTAATCTCCAAACCAAATTTTATATGTGATATCTTCGACTATAGTAGCGTCGACGTAGTGGTTGAGGTGCAGAAAATCGGATGCAAAAAATTGCTTCCTGCATTTAAGGACCACCCTAAAGTACATTTATGTATATATACGAAGCGTGAAGAAATATGCATTTTTTTCAATCTGCCTCTTGTTCATCTTCGCTGTATCACCAACCGAAAAATTTGCTCGGATGCTAACACCAAAGTGGCTAATTGTTAAAGAGGAAATGAGCGTATAATTTATTATATGCGAAATATTTATATACATCAGACAACAAGTGCATTTTGTAGCGTGTGAAAGTCAGAAAAATGGACCCACATGTAAATGAGAGATTACCTCGCAGCCTAACAAAAAGATATTATATTATAATAAATTATTTATAAATGCGAAAACGGTACTCTTACCCGATTTTTCTTGGGAAATTTTATGTAATTATGTGGGTTCCGTGGCAGGCATATGCAGGATGTATTACATTGTAGATATATTTGAAATGCGTTTTTAAACTGTAAAATTATACGTACATACGCCCTCATAGTCAGCTTGTGTCATATTTCACAATTTCTATCAAATTTTTTTTTCTTTATTTGTTAAACAATATTTAGATCCATTTTAAGACCACTGCCCTGCAATTATTTATTTTCATTTTTTCAAATTATTTCTAAGGGTGTTCAGATATGCAGATGATATGGTTAATAGACATCATAAAGCTGGATGCTTTCAAATATCCGTAAAAGTTTTTGCCCCAAATTTCACATTAAAAACTTAAACACTTTCTTTTAGCTGTTCGCTGGCTTTTTTCCCCAGTTTTTTCCACTTGTTCTGAATCGAATTAGCTATGCACCAAATAAAACTATAGTTTAGTTCGGATGGTTCTTACCCCGCACTCACTCAAAAATTTTCTTTAAGGGCTCATAAATAAAAATTCTCCAAAAGCGCTAAGTTAGAACGGAAACAGCAAAAAATAAGAGCAACACAAGAAGACACAAAAAAAAACTGTTTAATAATATTTATATTATGATGTTAGTTAATATATCTATCTGCATTTTTAACAAATTTCTCAGTTCTTAAAAGTTCACACTGGTAAGTAAGTTTTCACATCAAACGACTTAATCCAAATTGTTGTTTACATTTCACAGCGCTGTAGATCGAACGGCAACATATCGCAGATACAGATACAGATACTCGTATGTGGAGTACAATTTTCCCATATCAAGCACTAACAATTATACAATACTAAATATCATTATAATATTTTGCACATCTCAGGGCTATGAGAATTTCAAAGCAATATATCTTAAAATATACAGTGACTCAAATTACGTTCGCATGTTAATTTTTTTTATCATATTCACAAGGCATTTCAAGTAATTTTTTTTTTTAATATTTTTTGTAATCAAAACCATATACATACATAAATGAAAGCCTCAAAAAATATATATAAATTTAAAAACTTTCATCAAAATTTTGAGCTTTTTAATCTGAATCAGTTTCATAGCTCGTAAAAATTTACATAATAAAGTGCGTTTGTCAAGCCTCTTGACTTTTAATAATTTGCTAGAAATTCGGTTTTAAAGGCTCGAAATTTTGATGGAAATGATTTAAATTTTTCAATTTTATTTTTACAAAGCTGCCACTTCTATGATTTTGGTTATAGCATGAACAATATTTTTTTTAATAATAAAAAAATTTAATTTGGAAATGCTAATGAATGTTAAAAAAAATCAAAATGTAAAGTATGTTTTGAGTCACTGTATATATACATGTCTATGCTAATATGTTCATACGGAATTATTGCCGCACACGATTTCTGGTCATTTCGTTCAACAGTCAGACCATTAGAAGTTGCCGATTTACTACCTCAAATAAATTGTT